GTCTCTGGTTTATAGTTGCTGTTGATTTTGGTTTTACTTTATTATAATTAGTCTTTTTCCTGGTCCCTTATTTAGGTTTTCTAAATTCCTGCTATGAGTGAGACCATCTGGTATTTTTCTTTTTCTTTCTGGCTTATTTCGCTGAGCATGATCCCTTCCAGCTCCACCCATGTTGCTGCAAATTGCATGAGTTTATCTTTTTTGATTGCTGAGAAATATTCCATTGTGTATAAGTACCACATCTTCTTGATCCAGTCATCTATTTTTGGGCATTTGGGTTGCTTCTATAGCTTAGCTATTGCAGGTGCCATTTTGAATTAATGTTTCTGTGTCCTTTGGGTAAATACCTAGATGTGGAATTGCTGAATCATGTGGAAGCTCCATCTTTAGCAGATTGAGGAATCTCCACACAGCTTTCCATAGTGGTTGGACCAGTTTGCACTTCCACCAGCAGTGCAGGAGAGTTCTTTTTCTCCACATCCTCACCAACATTTGTTTTTGCTAGATTTTTTTTTTTTTAATATGTCTCATTCTCACTAGTGTAAGATGGTATCTCATGGTAGTTTTGATTTGCATTTCCCTGATTACTAGTGATGTTGAACATTTATTCATATGCATTAGCCATTTGCATTTCCTCTTTAGAGAAGTTTCTTTTTAGCTCTTCTGCCCATTTTTTGACTGGGTTATTTACTTTGTTTTTGTTGAGTCTCATCAGCTCTCTGTAGTTGTGTGTGATCAGTCCTTTATCATTAGTGTTGTGTGCAAAAATTTTCTCTCAATCAGTGGGTGTCTCTTTGTTTTGGTTACTGTCTCTTTTGCTATATAGAAGCTCTTTACTTTGATGTAGTCCCAGCTGTTTATCTTTGCTTTCACTATCACTGCTTTGGGTGATGTGTCTTTAAAGATGTGACTGAGGTGTGTGTCATATAGTGTCTCACCTATATTTCCTTCTATATATTTTATGGTTTCAGGTCTTATGTCTAGTTCTTTAATTCATTTTGAGTTGTTTTTTTGTGCATGGTGTGAGGTAGTAGTCAAGATTCATTCTTTTGCATGTAGTGACCCAGTTTTCCCAGCACCATTTATTGAACAAAGTTTCTTGGCTCCATTGCATGTTCTTTGCTCCTTTGTCAAAGATTAGTTGACCGTAAATCTATGGGCTTATTTCTGGATTTTTCTATAGTATAGCTTGAAGTCTGGGAGTGTGATAGCTCCATTCCCTTCTTTTTTTTTTTTTTTTTTTTTTCAGGAGAGCTTTGGCTATTCGGGAATTTTGGTGGCTCCATATGAATTTCATCAATATTTGTTCTGTTTCTTTGAATAATGTCATTGAAACTTTTATTGGAATAGCAGTGATTCTGTAAATTGATTTTGGTAGGATGGCCATTTTGATAATGCTAATTCTTCCAATCCATGAGCAGGGGATGTGTTTCCATTTCTTTGTGTCTTCCTCTATTTCTTTTAACAGTGTTTTATAGATTTCTTTGTATATGTCCTTTACCTCTTTTGTTAGGTTTATTCCCAAGTATTTGATTTTTTTGTTTCAATAATAAAAGGGATGGTTTTCTTGATTGTTTCTTCAGATTTATTATTTGTGTATAGGAATGCTACTGATTTTTGTGTGTTGATTTTGTATCCTTCTTCTTTACTGAACTGATTGATTATTTTGAGAAGTTTTTCAGTGGAGTTTTTGGGGTTCTCTATGTATATTATATCATCTGCAAATAGTGATAGTTTGACTTCTTCATTCCCTATTTGGATTCCTTGTATGTCTTTCTCTTGTCTTATTGCTTTTCCTAGGACTTCCGGTATTATATTGAAGAGCAGTAGTGAGAATGGACATCCTTGTCTTGTTCAAGATCTTAGTGGAAATGCTTTCAAATTTCCACCATTGAGGATGATATTTGCTATGGGCTTGTCATATATGGCCTTTATGATGTTGAGTTATGTTCCTTGTATCCTGAGAATTTTGAGGGCTTTTATCATAAATGGGTGTTGTACTTTGTCAAAAGCTTTCTCAGCATCTACTGATAAATTACCACATGTTTTTTATATTTCTTTTTGTTGACGTATTGGATTACATTTATTGATTTTTGGATGTTGAACCATCGTTGTGTCCTTGGAATAAATCCTCCTTGGTCGTGGTGAATTATGGATACTTTGCTGGATTCTGATAGCTAAAATTTTATTGAGGATTTTTGCATCAGTGTTCATTAGAGAGATTGGCCTATGGTTTTCTTTTTTTGTGTTGACCTTGTTCAGTTTTTATATTAGTGTAATGTTGGCTTCATAGAACGTGTTTGGTATTATCCCTTCCTTCTCAATTTTTTGAAAGAATTTATGAAGGATAGGCACCAATTCATTTCTGAATGTTTGGTAGAATTCATTTGTAAATCCAGTTGGTCCTGGGCTTTTGTTTTTGGGAAGGGTTTTGATTACCATTTCAATTTCACTGCTTGTAATTGGTCTGTTTAGGTGTTTTATTTCTTCTTTATCTAGCTTTGCGTGATTGTAGAGTTGTAGGTATTTGTCCATCTCTTCCAGATTGTTGAGCTTGTTTGCATATAATAGTTCATAGTAGTTTCTGATTATTCTTTTGATTTCTGCTGTGTCTGTTGTGATTTTTTCTCCTTCATTTGTGATCCTATTTATTTGTGCTTTCTCCCATTTGTCATTGTGAGCCTGGCTAGGGATTTGTCTATTTTATTTATTTTTTCAAAGAACCAACTATGGGTTTCATTGATCTTTTGGATTGTTTTTTAAGTTTTGATTTCATTTATTTCTGCTTTGATTTTTATTATTTCCTTTCTTCTGGTTTTAGGGTTTTTTTGTTGTTCTTTTTCTAGTTCTTTGAGATGCGAGAATAGATTGTTTCTTTGAGTTCTTTCTTTTTTCTTGATATGAGCCTGTATTGCTATACATTTTCCTCTTATTACTGCTTTTGCTGCATCCCATACATTTAGGAAATTGGTGTCCTCCTTATCGTTCAACTCAAAGTATTTTTTAATTTCTTCTTTGATATCCTCGTTAGTCCAGTGGTCTTCCACTATGGTGGGTTTCAGTCACCATGAATGAGGTGGGAGGGTTCCTTGCCTTCTTTTTATGGTTTATTTCTAGTTTGATGCCTTCATGGTCAGAGAAGATTGTTGGTATGATTTCAGTCTTGGTGTATCTGTTGACGTTTGTCTTGTGTCCCAGCATGTGGTCAATCCTGGAGAATGATTTGTGTGCACTTGAGAAAAATGTGTACTCAGATTTTTCGGGGTGTAGTGTCCTATAGATGTCTGTTAAGCCCATGAGTTCTAGATCCTATGTAGAGCTTTAGTGTCCTTACTTATGTTTTATCTTGTTGATCTAGCCATTGTTGACAGTGGTGTGTTGAAGTCTCCTACTACATATGTGTTTTCTCTGATGTCTGTTTTCAGAGATGATAATAGTTGTCTGATATATTTTGGTGCTCTTTCATTTGGTGAGTATATGTTAATGAGTGTTATGGCTTCATGATGTATTGTCCCTTTGATCATGATGTAGTGATCATTTTTACATTTTTGAGTTTGAAATCTGTTTTATCTGATATAAGTATAGCTGTCCCTGCCTTCTTTTTTGGTCCATTTGCTTGTAGGATTGTTTTCCATCCTTTTACTTTTAGTCTGTTTTTATCTTTTGTAGTTAAATGTGTTTCTTGGAGGCAGCAAAGGTTGGGTTTTGTTTTTTAATCCAGGCTGCAACTCTTTCTCTTTTTCATTTATTTATTTTTTATTTATTTATACAAGCACTGGGTACAGTCAGAAGTGCAGTAGAGTGAGAGAATTCACCAGAGCCAGAGCGGCGAGCAGAACAGGCAGACTGACGAAGTACACTGCTGAGGGGAGCAGCGGGCTTGGCAGGAGAGGTAGGCATGCCATTTGGGACCCTTGTGAGTGGCTGGGGATCAGTCCAGCGCCACAAAGGCTGCGGGTAGTTTTGCAGCCCAGCGCTCAACCGCTGCGCCACCAGTTTAGTCCGTTTACATTTAGAATTAATATTGATGCCATTAGTGTCTGTATTTGCCATTTTGCTTGTCCTTTCTCTGGTTTTATTTTTTTGTCTTGTTTTGTTCTTATTCATCCCTCTTTGGTTCTTCTGGCTTTAGGACTCCTTGTAGTATTTTTTGGAGTTGGGGTTTAGTCGTAATGAAATTCTGTAGTTTCTGTTTGGGAAGGTCCTTATTCTTTCTTTATAGAGGAAGCAGAGCTTTGCGGGATAAAGTATTCTTGGTTGGTATTTGTTGTCTTGGAGTCTGTCGAATATGTCCCTCCACTCTCTCCTTGCCTGTAGTGTTTCTTCGGAGAAGTCCTATGTCATCCTGATTGGTTTTCCTTTGTATGTTACCTGTTTTTTCCCTATTGTCAGCTTCATTATTTTTTCCTTGTCTTAGATTCTTGGGGGCTTTATTATTATGTGTCTTGCTGTATTTTTCCTTTCATCATGGAAGTAGTTTGTTGTTCTTCTGGCTGCTTTTATGTCTATTTTCAGCTTCTTCTTCATGCTTGGGAAGTTCTCTTCTGTTGTCTCCTTGAATATTTTCCCTGTTCCTATGTCTCTCTCCTCTCCTTCTGGGATTCCTATATTATGTTTCCTTTCCTCATGGAGCCAGATAGTTCCCGAAGTCTTTCTTCATTCTTTTTCCTTCATATTTCTCTTTTCTGTTCTGATTCTTTTTACTTCTTTTTACTTCTTCCATTTCATCTATTCTGTTATCACTGCTTTTCCCAGAGTTCTTCAGCTCCTCCGTTAATCCTTTGTTCTCCTACATTTCTTTCACTTTCCTCTTTAGGGACTCAATTTCATTCTTCTGATCATTGATTATTTTTCCCTTATCATTGTTTTCCTTTATGACTTCTTTCAGTTTTTTAATCATGACAATTTTAAATTCTCTATGTGGAAGGCTCAGAAATTCTTCCAAGTCACTGTTGTTGCAATCTAGTGGTTTATTTTCTTTTTGCGGTGTGTCTTTTCCCTGAGGACTTGCTTTGTTGCTTGTAGTTTTTCTTCTCCCTGATGACTGCTTTCTCATTTGTCCTTATGCATTGGGACACTGTGTCATTGGTACAGGCTGGCATCTCTTTGGTGTGCTCCTTCTGGGATGTCAGAATCGCATGGCCCAATCAAGTCCAATGCTGTTAACCCCAGAATTCCAGTAGGGCAGTGGTACTAACGATATGTTGATGGGCTCTTTCCCTGGAAATCTACTCCCTCTGTATTTATTTAATACCAGAGGTGGGTCTTGAAGTTCCTCAGACTGGCCTGCCGCTGCCTGGATTACCCCTGGGCAACTAATCGCTGAATCCCCTTCTGGGTTCTGACTCAAGGCCAGATGTGGGGTTCGGCTTGTACATGCGTTTCGGCTCACTTCTGACTGTGGATAGCCCTTTCTCACTTCCACACAGTTTTGGTGAGGTCCGGACTCAAAGCTCTTCCCTGCACCTTCAGACTGCTCCGGTGGTGGCTGGATCACCCTCTGGGATCCAACCAGTAGCCAGTCACGGGCACTGACTTGTGTGGGCTTTCAGCTCACCTCTGACTATGAGGACAGCCCTTTCTCAGTTCCACACAGTTTTGGTGAGGTCAGGACGCAAAGCTCCCTGTCTTAGATATAGTGCTACTGGGATGCACTTCCCTGTGCCCTTGGTCTGCCAGTGTGGTGGCTGGATCCCTCTTTGGGCTCCAACTGGAAGCCAGTCGCTGGTCCTGGCTTGTGTGGGGATTTTAGCGCACCTCTGACTGAGGGGTCGGCCCTTTCTCAGTTCCACACAGCTTTGGTGAGGTCCGGAGGCAGGAGCTCCCTGTCTTTAATATGCAGGTCTGAAGCAAATAGTTATTGGTCAGAATTTTGCTTTTACTAATAGAGTTGGAATGAAAAGTCTTGTGTATGTCTTTTCTGTATTTCTTATCACTTTATCATTAGCCTCCTGAAAGTGACATTGCTCAAAGTGTGATCCATCTATACATTTGTTATATATTACCAAGATAGAATTTAGTACCATTTTGTATTTCTACCAACAGTTTCACCTGCAGAGTATGTTGTCAAAGTTTGGGATTTTTGCTGTTCTAATTGGTAAAAAATTAATTTTAAGGCTAATTTCAGTTAGTCTTAAATGGATAAGATTGTGAAGTTGGTTTTCATAAATTCTCTCAATAAATTTATTCTTCCTAAAATTTTAGTATACTGCCTTGTATTCAATTTACCCTCAAGTGTTGCCCACTAAAAATAGTGTCCATTGGGCCAAAAGCCATATAAAAAGGGATTGCTTCTATTTTCTCGCAATTTCAGTCATAGTAATTAAATTTGGCAACAAACATAAGAATTTAAAAGTTTGCATTCTTGTAACTCACTTTGGAAATGTCATTTGATCTATGGTTGCCAGGTAACCTGATAAAAAGAATGTAGATCCAAATGTGTTTTGCTGTTTCCTTGCTCTCATTTCAACTTTAAACTTTTCTTTAATAATGCTCCTTTTTAGCCAGCAGAGACCACTAGTTCTACTAAGGAACAGAATTGCAACAAAACTATACTTGCTATATTAAGGTGCTACTGCTTTTTAATAGCTCTACAATTTTATTAGCTTGTTTCGTGTGAAGATTTCATGCTTGAAAAAAACTAATTATTTGAGGTCAAGAAAGTATCTGACATTTTTTCCCCACCATATGCCATCTCTTCTTTAAAAGAAATAAGCATTTGAGAATTTAGTTAACTGTGTAATTTAATGTCCCATGAGCTAATATTTTCAAAAGATATAGAACCCTATAAAAAGTTAGTCCAAAGTCTCTAGGAACTGATGATGCTTTTGAAGAATGTTGCAGTTTATTATAGATTTTAATTTCTTTTTCAAACTCTTCTCAGTTTGCAGGTCTTTCAGATATATCCATCTCACAAGACATACCCGTGGAAGGAGAAATCACCATTCCTATGAGATCTCGCATTCGGGAGTTTGACAGCTCCACATTAAATGAATCAGTTCAGAATACCATTGTATGTTTTTGGACTAGTTGAGAGAACTTCTGTTCAGTATTATGGGACCAAATAACTAATAGCAATTTGTAATATTTTTGTTCACTGATTTTTCAATATATTTTATTTACTGCAGTTTAAAATTCTCCCCTAGAGAATAATTTGGTACAGCCCTTTTTGAAAGTAGATTGACTATAATGGATATTAAGAATCTTAAAATGTCCATATCTTTTTTTAAGTTGATAATTCTGCTTCTGAAGATATATTATAAAGAAAAAACATTTAAATACAAAATATTTTTTGAAGTACAGAAAAATATACCTCTATAAAGATGCTCATTATACCATTTTGTATAATGGGAAAAGCTGAATAACTGAGGTTATTGGTTAAGTATTTCATGTTACTCTATTTTGTGAATTGGTTAACATTTAAAATCGTGTTTACAAGGAATGAGATGAAGATGAAGAAATTTCAGAGTGAAAAAATTAGGAAAGAATTATCTCAAATATTTTGAGAGTTTATGTTTATATTACCATACTCTTCCTCAAATATCTTGACTTTTTGGGGGAGGTCTGGCTTCTGGGAATTCATTTGCCAGTTAAATTGGGAATATTGGAAATTATTTTATATATTGTGAAGAATGCAGTAGCTGGAGTAGCTAGGGCAGGCTAACTGTCCTATCACATATGAACTGAATGTCAAATATTATATTTTGTAAAGCATCTTTTAGCAAGCTATTATTTTAGTTTCTTTAAGTAGCATATTAAGATGGCTGTATTTCTTTTTATAGAGTTTTAAAAATCAAAATAGGACGTGGATGTGCTCAAGAGTTAGATGTTGGCTTATGGAATGAATAGAAAGAACATATCCTATCTCTCTGGTTTCTATAGGGAACTGGAACTAAAGCTCCAAAATTCCATGAGGGGCTCCAAGAGAATGAAAGAAAATAAATTTTAGCAATTAAGTAAGGGGGATACCTGACAAGCTTGGTTATCACAATACACCAAGTTGTTTATGTTTTTCAGATGCGTGATCTAAAAGCTGTTGGGAAGAAATTCATACATGTTTTGTACCCAAGGAAAAGTAATACTCTTTTGAGAGACTGTAAGTATATAAGGTTTTTGAGAATTTGTGGCTTCTCAGCATGCCTTATAATTACTTTATAAGTACTTTATAAAGTACTTTGCCTTTATAATTACTTTATAATTTTTGCCTTTATGATTACCTTATAAAGGCAAAGGATAGAAATAAAACTGACATCATTTTACATTGTGGAAAAAATATATAGGGCCTCCCCTGGTTGCACAGCGGTTGAGCGCTGGGCTGCAAAGCCGCCCGCAGCCTCTGCAGTGCCGGTTCGATCCCCGGCCGCCTAGCGAGGGTCCCAAATGGCATGACAGACCACTCCTGCTGGGCCTGCTGCTTCCCTCAGCAGTGTATTTCGTCACTCTGCCTGTTCTGTTCCCCGCTCTGGCTCTGGTGAATTCTGTCACCCTCCCGCGCTTGTGACTGTACCCAGTGCTTGTATGAATAAATAAATAAATCTTTAAAATATATATATATATATATAAACAAATATGTAAATTAAATGTTTGAAAGGAATAGAATTGCAGAGGCTGTAAGATTTTGCTTATTACTATGTTGGCCTTATCAAATATAGACTGTATGCCATCCCTTCTTATAACAACCAAAATAGCTAACAGTCTCCAAGGGAAAGGCAAAATGTTTAAATGTTAAATTAGAAAAATAGCAAATCCCCATTAAGATTAACAAATCAATAGTACCTTAAATGACATTACTATTTTCAAAAATTATTATTTGTTTAAGAGTTCTTTCAGGAACTCCCCTGCTGGCACAGGCAGTTGAGCGCAGCACTGTGAAGCTGTCCACAGCCTCTGCACCATGGGTTCAATCCCGGCCAGCCGGCCGGCGAGAATCCCACATGGCGCAGCAGCCCTTACCTGTCATGCCCGCTGCTCCCCTCAGTACTGTATTTTGTCAGTCTGCCTGTTCTGCTCCCCGCTCTGTCTCTGGTGAATCCTCTCACCCTCCCAAATGTCTGGCCTGTACCCACGTTCTTGTATGCTTGAATAAATAAATCTCTTTAAAAAAAAGAGTTCTTTCAAAGCAGTGTTTGCAATAAAGTATACTCTTAGTACCTTTTATCAGAAAAATTGAGTGGGTTGTTTCCAAATTAATAGAAATGTTGTACATGAGTATACCTTCTACTTTGGCAGGATTTCAGCTATAATATTGGGATATCAAATATGTGACAAATTGTGCCAGCACTCTGCGTGGACACTGGGTACAATGTCAGAATCTTTTTTAGCAAAGTACACTGTGGGCTGGAGCTGACTCATTGACAAATCTGTGTTCAAATGATGGTTCCATCACTAACTGTCTGATCTTGGATAAGACAGTTAACTGTGTGCATGGTGTGAGGTAGTACTCAAGCTTCATTCTTTTGCATGTAGTGACCCAGTTTTCCCAGCACCATTTATTGAACAAACTTTCTTTGCTCCAGTTCATATTCTTTGCTCCTTTGTCAACGATTAGTTGACCATAAATCTGTGGGTTTATTTCTGTATTTTTTATCCAATTCCATTGGTCTGTGTGTCTGTTCTTGTTCCAATACCATGCAGTTTTAATGATTATGGCTTTGTAGCATAGTTTGAAGTCTGGGAGTGTAATGCCTCCATTCCCTTCTTTTTATATCAGGAGAGCTTTGGCTATTCGGGGTTTTTGGTGATTCCATATGAATTCCATCAATAATTGTTCTATTTCTTTGAAGAATGTCATTGAAATTTGTATTGGAATAGTATTGAATCTGTAAATTGCTTTTGGTAGGATGACCATTTTGATAATGTTAATTCTTCCAATCCATGAGCAGTGGATGTCTTTCCATTTCTTTGTGTCTTCTTCTATTTCTTTTAACAGTGTTTTATAGTTTTCTTTGTATAGGTCCTTTTCCTCTTACACAAAAACCAACTCAAAATGGATTAAAGAGCTAGACATAACACCTGAAACCATAAAATATATACATGGAAATATAGGCAAAACACTACATGACATGCACCTCAAAGACATCTTTATAGACACATCACCCAAAGCAGTGATAGTGAAGGCAAAGATAAACAGCTGGGACTACATCAAATTAAAGAACTACTGCACAGCAAAAGAGACAATAACCAAAGCAAAGAGAAACCCCACCAACTGGAAGAAAATTTTTACTCACAACACTAATGATAAAGGACTGATCACAAAAATCTACAAAGAGCTGATGAGACTCAACAAAAACAAAGAAAATAATCCAGTGAAAAAATGGGCAAAAGAGCTAAAAAGAAACTTCTCTAAAGAGTAAATGCAAATGGCCAACAGGCATATGAAAAAATGTTCAACATCACTTGTAATCAGGAAAATGCAAATCAAAACTACAATGAAATACCATCTTATACCAATGAGAATGACACATATTATAAAAAGTAGCAACAACAAATGTTGGCGAGGGTGTGGAGAAAAAGGAACTCTCCTGCATTGCTGGTGGGAGTGCAAACTGGTCCAACCACTATGGAGAGCTGTGTGGAGATTTCGTGACCTACTAAATATAGAGCTTCCATATGATCCAGCAATTCCACTCCTAGGTATTTACCCAAAGGACACAGAAACATTAATTCCAAAGGGCACTAGCACCCCTGTGTTTATAGCAGCACTTTTTACAATAGCTAAGCTATGGAAACAACCCAAACCTCCAAAAATAGATGGCTGGATCAAGAAGATGTGGTACATTTACACAATGGAATATTACTTGGCAATCAAAAAAGATAAACACATGCAGTTTGCAGCAACATGGATGGAGCTAGAAGGGATCGTGCTCAGTGAAATAAGTCAGAAAGAAAAAGAAAAATACCAAAATACCAGATGGTCTCATTCATAGCAGTATTTTAGAAAGCCTAAATAAGGGATCAGGAAAAAGACTAATTAATACAAAGTAAAAATCAAAATCAGCAAGCAACTATGGGCCATAGATGCACTGCAGTGGGGGTGGAGGTGACGGGGAGAGGAAGGATTAAGGTCAAAATAAAGGGGGGTGCAATTGTATGGGGAATATAACCATAATGAAAATGCATACATTGTGCCAAAATGAGAAATGATGTAAGATTTATATAAAATAAAATATTAAAAAAAGACAGTTAACTTTTCTGAGGCTCAGGGTTCTTCCTCTGTTAAAGTGTAGATAATAGCAAGAACCTGCTGTTGAGCATTAGAGATATATAAACAACTTTTCACAGCATCTGTCATTTACTATGCACCGCATAAATGGTAGTTATGATTCTAGTGCATTCCTCCCTGAACACATTATCTTTTTAATCCTTACAACAACTTTGTGAAATGTAGGAGTTATTATTCCTGTTTCACAGATGAACAAAATGAGTCTCACAGAAATTCAAAGCTTTGTCAAGTTCACACAGGCAGGATTAGAACACAGTTTCAAATTCATTATCATTTCCATTCTGCCACTGCTCTCCCCTAATGTGAAGAAATCCTTTTAACTTCTGCTGTTGCTCAGTTCAAAGCAAGGTTGTTTCAATTATAATGCAAAACAGTGTGTTAGTTTTCTGATTAATGATGAATATTATCCATGACTTATGCTATGATCCATTCCCAGATTTGTGGGGATAGATAGGCTGGCACAAGGGTGAGCAAGTCATCGTCAGAAGTTTACATTTCTACCCTACCCTGTTATCATGGCCCTTGCAGAGTGGCAAGGTAAAAAATCATACCTTGCAAAATAATGTTAAATTAAACCACACCAAGATACTACTTCATACCCATTAGGGTGGCTATTATCAAAGAAATGAAAATTAACAAGTGTTGATGAGAATTTGGAGAAACTGGAACCCTTGTGTATTGCTAGTGAGAATGTAAAATTATTCAGTCACTGTGGAAAACAGTATGGTGGTGCTTTAAGACATTAAATATAGAATTGACATATGATCCAGCAGTTCCACTTTTCTGTATATACTCAAAAGAATTGAAAGCAAGAACTCAGACGTTCATACATCCTTGTTTATAGCCACCTTATTCCCACTAACCAAAAGGTGAAGCAACTCAAATGTCCATAGATGGTAAACAAAATGTGGTATGTACACATAATAGAATATCACTTAGTCTTAAAAAGGAATTAACTTCTGACATGCTGCAACATGGATGAATCTTGAAGACATTATGCTGACTAAAATAAGCCAGGCACAAAAGGACATATATGATTCCATTTATATTAGGTAATATAATTGATCAATCAAATTGATAAAGACAGAAAGTAAAGTGGTGGTTTCCATGGCCAGAGGGGGAATAGGGAGTACTGTTTAATGGGCTAGAGTTTCAGTTTAAGAAGATTAAAAGTCCTGGAGATGGATGGCGGTGATGGTCTCACAGCAACAAATATCCTCGGTGCCTATAACTTAAAAGCATATTAATGTGAATTGTACTTGAATTCAATTTTTTATTTAAGTTCAAAAATTTGGCAAGAACTCCAAGAGTCTTATCAGAGTGATTACAGATTATGGTGGGTTTTTAAAAAATTTTTTAAAATATTTTTTTAAGATTTATTTATACAAGAACTGGGGTACAGGTCAGAGTTGCAGGAAGGTGAGAGAATTCACCACAGACAGAGCAGGGAGCACAACAGGCAGACGGACAGAACACTGCTGAGGGAGCAGCAGGCAAGGCAGGAGAGGTCTGCCGCTCCATGTGGGCTTCTCCCTGGCCGCCGGGAATCGAACCTGTGCCCCAAGGGCTGTCTGCAAAGGCTGTGTACAGCCTCTGCAGCGCGGCGCTCAACCTGCTATGCCACTCGGGAGGCCCCAGATTATGGTGTTTTAAAACATCTTTTCCAAACTTTTCACAGTGGTATAAAGATTACTTACATAATTTTTAAAAACAGAATATGTACATGTGTATATTTATCTTAGGTAAAGTTTATACATATGAATTAAAATTAGCGGTAGTATATGTACCTTTAATTAGTTGAGGGAAGTAATTGTGATCTGAGTTGTATATAAGCAAACTGTTGGCATATTAGCCACCCAACAAACTATTGATTGAGGCCACTGTGCTTAGACCTGATGTGGGCAGAACCTGGTATAGTTTTCAGAAAGCTTTCATGTTATTTGCTAAAGTTTAACCATATGAAATTACCAATACTTGACTTTTCCTTCACCTATAAGAACAGCAATTCCATACCAATTCTGTGTAATAATGATAAAAGCAAAGCCATGCAACAGAGTATAAAGAACTTTGAACTAGGAATCAGAAGTCCTAGATTCTGGCTTCACCTTCAAACCTAACTGTATAAACTTGGGCAACTCCTTTCTCAGCGTCATTTTTCATATTTGTGAAATGAACCTGATTACGCTTATGTTGTCTAATGTAGTCTCAGACTGACGAGGTAACTTGGTGTACATCTTTTTTGAGTACAGGGTAGGGCACCTAGTCTTTTGACTCATTGTCCACTGGTCTTTAACTATATTATCCTGGAATGTAGCTTAGTAGGTGGGAGAAGGGGTGATTTGTGGGATATGAAGTGGATAAAACTTAAGGGATAGATAAAGCAGGCCACATTCAGAGTTGGGGAGGGTGGACAAGTAGAGGGATAAGAGACATGAGAAGGCTCGGACAGACATGAGAACTTTGATGTCCGAATTCCAAGAGTGGGAAAGGTAGGCATTGGAATAAAGAAAATACTACATGTCTTAATAATTCTTTCCTTGCCTTGTAGGGGATTTGTGGGGCCCTTTGATCCTTTGTGTGACACTTGCATTGTAAGTACTTTTCTTTCATTGTCATTTGAAATAAACTAGACTTGTTTGTGGTATTTGAAAATTGAGAGTATTTTTCCCTGAATATTTCACTTAGGACTTCTATGATATATAGTACTATTTCATTGTCTAAATCTAAAATGTCAAGTCGTTCATAGAGTGATGAAATTAAAGATCTGAAAATTATGCCTACCTTCATTCACCAATTGTTTCTTAGCCTGTTTTAACCATTTAAGGAATTTCAAGAAGGTGAATTGGGCACCCCTTGTAGTCCTAAGACATTGGGAATTTGAAATAAGGAAGCCTTTCCAAACACTTTTGGCATTTGCCTTTCACACAGATCTTCAGTTGAGGTACAGGGCAAATTGTGCTCCCTGATGCAAAATTTGTGAACACATGCCTTTAGTTGTGTTTCTCTAAGTGAAAGATTAGGCAATTTTCATGCCATTTCCTCGTCACAGAATGCTTCAAAGAGGCTCTGCAGATAGTGAAAAAGATGGAGGGCCCCAGTTTGCAGAAGTGTTTGTCATTGTCTGGTTTGGTGCACTTACCATCACTCTCAACTCAAAACTTCTGGGAGGAAACATGTGAGTATTATTAAGATGTGCCTTTTTTCCCTTGCTGGGTAGCATTTTTTTTTTCCTCTAGAAATGTCTAGAATGTCTAGAGAAATGTCTTTTCTCTAGAAATTCTCTAGAATGTCTGTCTAGATAGATTTTTTAAAGATTTATTTATTTATGCTTACAAGAGCTGGGGTGTGGGTCAGAGGTGTGGGTGGTGGGCAGTGAGAGGATTCACCAGAGACAGAGTGGACAGCAGAACAGGCGGATTGACTGAAATGCACTGCTGAGGGGAGCAGTGGGAGAGACAGGAAAAATCTGCTGCGTCATGTGGGTCACCTCCCTGGCCAGAGATCAAACTCTTGCTACAGTACCTGCGGATTGCTTCATAGTGCTGATTGTTAACCCCCTGAGCCACCAGGAAGACCCTAGATAGACATTTTTTAAAGAGAAAAGTCAAAACAAATGGTTAAAGAGAAAGTTCTTTTAAAAGCACCTAACAGAGATAACTGAATTGAATTAAATTATATTTAAGTGCTGGGGTCCTTTGATAAGCTTTAGATGTTATCTCCAGCTCCATATCATAAAATATTTTATGTCAGAAGGGCCTCCCCGGTGGCGCAGCGGTTGAGTGCCGGGTTGCGAAGCTGCCCGCAGCCTCTGCAGCACTAGTTTCATCCCCAGCTGCTCCCCGGCCACCGGAGGAGGGTCCCACATGGCGCGCAGACCTCTCCTGCCGCCTGCTGCTCCCCTCAGCAGTGTACTTCGGTCCTTCTGCCTGCTCTGCTCCCCACTCTGGTGAATTTTCTTACCCTCCCACGCTTCTGACTGTACCCAGTGCTTGTATAAATAAATAAAAATTTAAAAAAAATCTTTAAAAAATATTTTATGTCAGAAGATTATGTTCATTATTGGAAACAGATGCTTCATAGCTTTCAACAAATTGTCTAGAAAATAGAAAAGATTAAGAACCACCACCTTCTCAGGAGGAAAAAGAGATCTCTGGGAATTAGAGTAGATCATCTGTTATCCTAGATGGTTGACCATTATGGATTTTAAGAAGAGAGGTGGAAGAAGATAGGAAGAGAAGAATTGAAACCTATGTTTAATACAGAGTTTTATCCTCATAAAATCAGTGTTAAGGTATAGATCTCCTGTATCTGGAGGCAGGTAGCAATCTATGTTACATAGACATCTATGTAATAAGTCGTGATACGGATCAGCTATATTTATGATCTTTATGGATTTATGTTGTTTGTTAGATCTTTTTTTCAGAGCCTCTGTGTGCTGGGTTACTGTATCCTTCCCTTGACAGTGGCAATGCTGGTTTGCCGGCTGGTACTTTTGGCTGATCCAGGACCAATAAACTTCATGGTCCGGCTTTTTGTGGTGATCGTGATGTTTGCCTGGTCTATAGTAGGTAAGACTATACTTATCTCTATGGTAGCAAAGCAGGCAAAAACATGAGTTGGAGATGAAGACCAGTGTAATGTGTTTCCTACCAGTCATCCATAGATTAATGTGCTCTAAGTATGCAATGATAGAGATGATGTCCATCTTATTTGAGTTGGGTATCTGGACTTCCATCTCCCATCTGAACACTTTAATGCTCCCATCTGAACACTTTAATGCTCTTAAGACATGTCTACATGTCTGGTTCTATTAGATCATATACTCCGAAGATAGAGAAGTCTTTTTAGTCACATCTTTTTTTTTAATCCTTAAACAATGGATAAGATTAAACTAGACCGAAGATTAAACAGAAGATTAAACTAGACCTAGCTCAAGCTTGGCATGTCAGAGGCATAAATGAGTTTGGATTTTTTTTCTGGCAAATGAATCACAATAAAATAACTAGTGTTTGCATATTGCTTATTATAGGCCAAGCACAATTGTAGCTGTAACTTTATGTGTATTATCTCATTTAAGCCTCACAATAATCCTTATAAAATTATTTTATATATGAGAAGCAGATGCAGAGAGGTTAAGCAGCTTGCCCTAGGACACATAACTAGTGAGTAGCAAATCAAGTTTCATATTAAAGCAGCTCACACACCTGTTTAGAACTATATAACCTCTCAGTATAGATTGTTATCATTGAGACTATTTTTTTTTCAGTAGAAAATTCTGCTGAAGATTAGAAAGAGCCCATAGCAGTGGCAACAAGTGCTTTATGGTCATTGTTTTTCTCTCTTAAAATTCCACCTTAAGTAGAAGTGTTCACCAGGTTCTCATTTAATGAGATAGATAGACTGCCTAATTTTAAGTGCAGTAGCATCTCATTGCTCTGAAACATGATTAAAACCCACGAAGTAATGAAAAAAAAGACCTGAGAGAGTCAAAATTGATATTCCAAAAACTCTATATTTAGCTTGGGTGATTTACCTGTGGGAGAGTCCCTTAATTCCCTCACGTACAGTCTAAGAATTTATCATACATGTAGTTCTAAAATAGCATAGTTATTCAGCATCCGGGTCCACAGCAGTTCAGAAAGTAGAGTCTTAGAAGAAGAGAGAGGCTCCTGGAAGCATTCATTCTTTAATTCAGCAAATGTTTATTAAATGAAAACTGTCAGGCACTTTGCTAGGCATGGTCTCTATCCTCAAGTGTATGATCTAATAGAACTAGAGATGTAAACACTTAAGAGCATTAAAGTGTTCCAGGTGGGAGATGAACGTCTTCAGGGCGCAGGCGGGACACAAGAGAGGGATGTGAGCAGTTCTACCTAGAGTGGAAGGATATCAGATGGTTGTTCAAGATCACCAATGAGTATAAAGTTGAGTAGGTTTGACCTGTGCAGACAAGAGGAATGGCATCTGAAAGGGCTGATAAAAATAAGAACAGTTACTCAAAGAGCACAGCCATATGAGGCCATTTAGGAACAAGTAACCTTGCACATCATTCTAAGCACATCTAGTACAGTTCAGCGATTTTTCAGAAAATGGAAGAAACTTCAGAAAGGTTTCCATACAAAATGGTTAACAAGTTGCATAGTTTTAGTACTTGAAACAGGAAATCCTAGGCTTTTGGGGAAACTGCTACAGAATGTCTTTTCCTCTGAGGGTTGTGAATGCAACTGAACTTATAGTATAATTCTATGTCCTGGACTATGTCAAGCACATAAAAGTTTAGTAAATATTAGTTGCTGTGGCAATATTACTGTATTAAATATTCCTTTCTGTTTTGTTTAGCTTCTACAGCTTTTCTTGCTGATAGCCAGCCTCCAAACCGCAAAGCCCTTGCTGTTTATCCTGTTTTCTTGTTCTATTTTGTCATCAGTTGGATGATTCTTACCTTCACTACTCAGTAAATCAGGAAATGGAAATGAATAACCAGTGAATTGGAAGCTCATCTGAGAGATGGAATTCATCGTGGAGCTTTGCTTCTGACCCTCTTTTGTCTAATTTTGGGGGTGGTTGGTAACTGTATGAGGAGATTACAAAGGAGCCACTTATGTATGAAACTGATGTTTGCAAGGCTGTCCTTTTCCTCTTCATGTTGTTTCTTTAAAATCGACGTGCATTGTACATACAGTATAACGCCTCCCTCATGCATGAGGGGGTCACTGTGGTCCATTTGGGTGCCAACCAATGACTTGGGAAGCACATGAATACATCTTTCAAATTGAGTAAAGTTGGTGATTGCATTTCCAGTTTTGAGAATACCAGTTCAGGTGCAGCTCTGAAACACATCACCTTATATACCTCTTTTTGCATAAATAAGAATGGCTAGTTTTTATCCATTTTCTTTTCTCACTGAAGCTTAAAAAGGCAGTGACAGTTTGGCAGGGGGTTTCATACATGTGGGCAGAGAAACATGTATTAAGCAATATTCAGATTTGATCTGAAAAATATCTGATTTCTTGCTTAAAAAAGACATAAACAGGGCTTCCCTGGTGGCGCAGGTGTTAAAGACAGCTCTATCAAGCTACTGCCAGCCACTACAGGACGGGTTCGATCCCCCGCCGGCCAGGGAGCTATCCACATGACACAGCAGACCTCTCCTGACTCACCCGCTGTTCCCCTCAGCAGTGTATTTCGGTACATCTGCCTGTTCTGCTCCCCACTCTCTCTGCTGAATCCTCTCACCACCCGCACCTCTGGCTTATTCCCCAGTGCTTGTATGCACAAATAAATAAATCTTTTAAAAAATCCAATCTTTATTTACAGTCGCCTTTCTGCCAAGCTAAACTGCAACTCAGTCACACTGTAGCTGCTCTAATTTTTTTTAAATTATTTTTAATGAAGTACTTTTTTCTCACATTGTTTATTTTTGGACAGTATATGATTTCTCCCCTTGGGTTTTGTCACCCTAGTTCTCCCACCACTCACCACTCTAGTTTTTTTTTTTTTTTTTATCTTAATAGGAACATGCTGGCTACGGAGTTAGCAGTCAACGTGTAATTTTCCTTTGAGCTCTCAAAGGTCCAGTACTTGTACTTATCCTTGTAGAAGACCTTAGAAATTTAGATCGGTTGGTTTCTAATGCCTGTTATCATGTTGGCACCTTTTCTTCAAGGCAGAATGAGGCAGTTTGGATATAGCATAGCTGTAAGGAATTCTTCATCATTCTGTGTAGTATAACCTCTAACTAGAAAGTAAAACTAGATCTGAAGCCTGCATTTAACCATGGAGGGATTTGGTGTTCTGAGAGCTGATTCACAAAACAGTTGGATGCTTGAAGCTTGACCTACAGTGATTTGGGTTTACTGCAGCTTCCACCTTTTCATAGTGGGCTTATCAGTTTTTTCATTAGATGTGTTTTGGGGTCAGGAAATGGCAATTTAGTATTGGTTTTAGACATTATTTGTAAAGCTAATTAGTTTTCCTTTAACAAGTACTTCTTTTTGTGTATGTTTTCTCCTACTTGCATTATCAGCTATTTATGCATACACATGTGAAGGCTTTCCAGGGAGCAATGTTTGGGGCAGGTTGATTCTGAGCTAAGTAGGACTCCTTTAAGGAAATATGAGTTGCTGCCTTCTATAAATTGTACATTGAAGAACTCTTAATAGACAAAGATTAGGAGTCAGCAAAAATATTCATTGTAAATATACGGTTACTTAGATGGCAATTTCTTATAGAATTTAAATATTCTTTTTGTATTTAAAGATTACCTAAACATAGCTACATAGTTTTAAAAACATATTTCTCCAACCCCAGTCTAACCAAATGAACAATAATAAGACAAATGAATTCTCAGGGCCTCCCCAGTGGCGCAGCGGTTGAGCGCTGGGTTGCGAAGCTGCCCGCAGCCTCTGCAGCGCCGGTTCGATCCCGGCCACTGGGTGAGGGTCCCACATGGCATGCAGATCTCTCCTGCTGCCCGCTGCTCCCCTCAGCAGTGTACTTCGTCACTCTGCCAGTTCTACTCTCCGCTCTGGCTCTGGTGAATTCTCTCACCCTCCCGCGCCTCTGACTGTACCCAGTGCTTGTATAAATAAATAAATCTTTAAAAAAAATGAATTCTCAGAATGATACTCATTACAAAAGCATTACAAAGTTGGTCCCTTCCATCTAAACCTTGTCCAAACTATTTGATTATATATTTGTATTTAAATTTCTTTTAAATTTTGAAATAGGCCTGTGAGGACAAAGCTGGTGTTTCAATTGTGAATTGATAAAGAATATTTTGAAAGTGGTCCAAACTTTGAAATCGTTTCAAATGATCATTCATGTCCATTGTTGGAAAATTTCCAACTTCACACTAAAGTCATCTCTTCCAAAGTTATTTCATAATATGTCCCAATGGTTACAATATAAAATTAAATAGCCATGCTTCTCAAAAGGGAATTAAGTCTTTACTGAATTTTACTCAGGCTAAATGTTTGGTTAGAAATTCCTGGGCCTCCCTGGTGGTGCAGCGGTTGAGCGCTGGGTTGTGAAGCTGCCTGCAAGCTCTGCAGCGCCAGTTCGATCCCCGGCCGCTGGGCGAGGGTCCCACATGGCACACAGACGTCTCCTGCCGCTCGCTGCTCCCCTCAGCAGTGTACTTCGTCAGTCTGCCTGTTCTATTCACTGCTCTGGCTCTGGTGAATTCTCTCACCCTCCTGCACTTCTTACTGTACCCAGTGCTTGTATAAATAAATAAATCTTTTAAAAAAAGTACAATCATTGTTTATTAAAAAAGAAAAAGAAAAAATTCCTAAGGCCCTGACTTTCAGGGGGATTGTGTGTGTGCATGAGATGGTGTTATATGTATTGATTTTTAAGGCAGCTTGTTCTGCTGCTCTTGGGTGATGTAGGGAATGGTTTTAGTTGATTTAACTAAAGGTGGGCAAAATGGAGATTGTTGCTACCCTAAAAATGAGTGATCAGTTTGAGGGTATAAGTAAATATTTTCTTTAAAAAATTATGCAAATATATGCTTTCTGTGATGGAAGAGCTGAGTTTCTGGAAGTTGCAGCCCTGAACAAAACTTTCCCTGATTTGCTGCAAAGGCACATATCTAATAGGAGAACTAGGCAGGAAAGGACCTCCAACAATGGAAACCCTGTTTCAGGAATTGGAAAATTCATGCTTCTGATGAAATCCAAGGATTATAAGCATCATTGCCAAATATGGTACATCAGTGCCATCGAGGTTTATCATTTGCTGCCCCCGCTTCCGAGACTGAGATACAGTTGTCATATTCTTTAGCAATAGGGAAAGTGAGAGTGGATTTAATCACTGTTCAGATTATAAAAACTCAATCGATGGGAACACATTTGAATGTACAGTATAGTTTTAAAAGTCAAACATTAATTGTCAAGTCTTTTGCCTGAGGCTTATTACATGAGTTGAATTGGATCTTTTTATTATAGTGGGATTTTTCTGTTGTTGGCTAACCTGGGGTCACAGGCCATGGGACTGGTAAGCAGGTTATTGTTTTATGTATTACTATGTTTTTTGTAAAGTATCCCCCAAAATGTGATTTATAAGGCAAACACACCTGTATTTGAACATTTAATTATGTACTTTATATAATCTCACCATTTTCTGTATTTGGACTTCCTGTTTATTTCTGGAGATTGAAAATGAAAATCTTTTGTCATTTCAAATTCTTGGGTAACATCGTTATTGGAATTTCTCTAAAGTCTGTCATGATATGATGAGATGTCCGTTGCATGCAGTTGTTTAATTCCAGAGTGAAACACTGAAATTGTTATTCTTAGCTAGGCTTAATTTCTGAAATAGCTTGGATAAAAATAAATGTGTGAGTGTCTATCCATGTATGTAAGTTAAAATACTTTTTTTTAGGTTCTGTGGGCTTTTATTAAACTTTAAGAATTTCAAGGGATTTACTTAGGCCATGGGATGGCCTATAACAGTAATATTCCTACTACTAATAGCTAACATTTATTGTACACTTACTGTGTGCCAGGCACTATTCTATTTTTAAGAGTTTTTTTATAACAGCTTTATTGAGATACACTTTACCATGAAATTAACCCTTTTAAAGTGATGTACAATTGAGTGATTTTTTTCAGTATATTCACACAGTTCTGCAGCTATTACCATTGTCTATCTTAGAACATTTTCATCATTCCATAAAGAAACCCAATTTCCGTTAGCACTGAGCTCCCTTTCCCCTTGCTCCCCAGACCCTGGCAACCACCCATCTGCTTTATCTGCCCCTGTTGGCTTAGCCAGACACTTTTCTTAAGTGCTTTTTATGCATCTCCTCTAATCCTCAACATAAACTGCTGTAATTCTCATTTCGTAAATAGAAAATTGAGGACCTCTCCCAAGGTCACACAGTAAATTCATTTAAAATAGGAAAAACAGTACATGAGAACATCATAGGACACAATTTTGAATTTCACTGTTTTGTACCTGAAATAAGTATACCTTTCCCAGGGGTATATTCTCAATTATAAGCCACTATACCCTACAATTGACTGGAGGTAGATAACGTGTTTCTTTTTTGAGTGATGGAACACTAGTAGCATCTGAGGAAAACAGCAGTTGTACACTGGGGAAGAGTTAGGTTTGCTGCCTTCACCGTCCTTGAGCTCCTTTTCTCTTCCCTCTCCTACTATCACCCCCCACATAGGTAGACCCCTGTCCTTTCAAAGTCTTGCGTATCAAACAACTTCCACCTCTTTTAGTTCTCCCAGAGAAATGGCTTAGGGCATCAAAATTTAACTTGTCTGTTCAAGTGTTTATAGTCAAGGGTGCATCTGGTTGTTTCTAGTACCAGCTATGTTCCTAAGACCTTGGAGCAATTGTGTAAGAATGGAATGCCTTTTTATTTGTATTAAACTAGGTGGCGGGAAGAAATAATAGACTAAAGGCTTTGCCTTAGTGAAGTCAGTGTTCTTGCTTGGTAGGAAGTGGCCACATGCTGCTCTTGTTCATTCTGTTCTCTTTCAGAGCTTTTATATTCTGCACCATTGCTTTGGTAATTTCGAGGTCCTCTTCTGTATACCATTTTAATCCCAATCTTTCTTATAAATGACAACACACCTGGGAAAAGAATAATCTGTAAAATGATTTGTGAATGTTAAAAGTGCAAATAAAAGACATGGGAAAAGTAGAATTTGTGTATGCCCATTCTTGTGCTGAAAAGCACAGAGGTACTTGCTGTGTGCTGTTTTTAGATAAATGTCACATGTCACTTAACAACAAGGATACAGTCTTACAAATGTGTTGTTAGGCAACTTCATTGTTGTGTGAATGTCAGTGTGTGTTATTCTCTAAACAGTGCTCCATTCCACTGGTTGGCATAGCAATTTAGAAGGGCATCTTGGAAGAGGAGTAACTGCTCACTGTGCCTGTAGTGCACTGCAATATATGCTGTGATGTAATGAGGCAATAGGAATTTTGGGACTGCTGTCATACATGTGGTCCATCCTTAACTGATGCTAAACTGCACATGGCGGTAGTATATTGTCATTAGACAGTATGGAATTGCTGTATAGGGTTGCACGGGCAGCAAATTAGAAAGTCACATTATTGAGCAAATAATATCTGCCCCACACTATGCTAGCTGCTTTCCAAACATTACCTCCTCTAACCACAGCAGTCTTTTGAGGTAGATGGCATTATGCTTATATCAAAGTTGAGGTACCTAGGAACTCGGGTTAAATAAATTGTCCAAACTGTGTATGGTGTGTGTAAGGTGCAACCAGGACTCATACTCAAGGTGTTTTTGTTTGTTTTGTTTTTTTTTAATGAAGCACCTTTTTCTTATATCTGGATAATTTTTCAACACTGTCCAAACTCAGGTTTTGTGATGCCATAAACTCTTTCCTGTATTAGTGTGTTGCCAAACTAAAAGAATACTTATGAGCCAGGGAGAGAGGGAGCCGGCAAGTCTAAGGCTGGTTGTGTGCATGTGTGATTGTAGCACATAATCACATATATACTGTACATAATCACAATGCTTTATGACACTTTTTTTTAACCTGCCTTTATATATTTTTTTCACTCTATGAGGTAACAAACTTCTGAGCTTAATTTATGGTTAAGGAAATAGACTCAGAGAGATAATTACATCTTTTGGCTGCAAAACCAGTCTCAGAATCAGAAAGTTGTTCTCCATCCTTTTCTAATGATAACTTGAATATTGAAGTGGATTCATCTGAATTGAAAAAATGAAGTTAATTTGTACAAGATGAGAACAAATTATTGGGTTAGATGTTGTAAACTAAGAAATCATGAGGTTAGGAAGATAGAGTGTCTTGAAAGGTTCTGGAGCAGAGGAATATCTTGATGAAAGTGACTTCAGGGCCTCCCCTGGTGGCGCAGCGGTTGAGGGCTGGGCTGCAAAGCTGCCCGGAGCCTCTGCAGTGCCGGTTGGATCCCTAGCTGCCAGCGAAGGTCCCACGTGGCGTGACAGACTTCTCCTGCCTCACCCGCTGCTCCCCTCAGCAGTGTATTTCGTCAGTCTGCCTGTTCTGTTCCCAACTTTGGTTCTGGTGAATTCTCTCACTCTGAATCCTGAGCGGTTTGATGTGCAGCATTTTAGTGGCAATATAAAGCCAAAGTGGATATAAAGGCATATTGGGGGAAAAGTTTGCAAAGATATTAGGCTCATGAGATGAAGGCACTGGATATTGCTTCCTTATTTGTACTCATACCAGGCACAGAATATTAGAGATGAAATGGTTTTTAGAGATAATTGATTTAATTTGTGCATTTTACCGATAAAAAGTGGAGCAAAAAAAAAAAAAAAAAAAGCAAAAGTTACTTATCCAACACCATTGGAAGGAAACAGCCAAAAACCTAATTTTCTGCATTTCTAGTCCACTGCTGCTTCTATTACATGGGAGAGTAGAGTAACTAAAAGTGTGAAAACCTAAGGTAAAGCCAAACACACACACACATTTACACACACACACATCTACAGAAACACAAACATTTTCAAAAAAAGTACTTTTGGGGGTGACGTTGGCTTACAACACTTTGTATGTTTTAGTATGAACATAGGTTCACATGTTTTCAAATATATGTTATCACACCACATGCAACTCCAAGCACCCATAGTCCACCACAGTCCATGGGGCCTCTTCCCCCATTTGCTCTCCTCCCTCTGCACCCCGTTCCTGGTAGCCTCTGTTCTACAGTCAGATTTCTAGGATTTATTTTGGTTTGGTTATGTTTGTTCTTTTGTTTCTCTATATTCCATACACGAATGAAGTCATCCTTCTGACTGTTTCATTAGCACGATCCCCTCCAGTTCCATCCATGCTGTTCACAAATGGCAAGATTTCTTTTTATAGCTGAGTAGTATTTTTTAAGTCAGTGGGTGCGTGCATAATTAACAGTGAAAAACAAAGGAGCTTGGGCCTCCCCTGGTGGCGCAGCAGTTGCGTGCTGGGTTGCAAAGCTGCCCGCAGCCTCCGCAGCAGCGCCGGTTGGATCCAGGCCACGGGCGAGGGTCTCACATGGCACGCAGACCTCTCCTGCTGCGCCCACTGCTTCCCTCAGCAGTGTACTTTGTCAGTCTGCCTGTTTTGTTCCCCACTCTGGCTCTGGTGAATCCTCTCACCCTCCCGCGCATCTGGTCTGTACCCCGGTTCTTGTATAAATAAATAAATCTTTAAAAAAATAAAAATAGTTATTCTTTAAAAAAAAAAAAAAAGAAAAAGAAAGGAGCTCATGAGAAAGTGATAGTCTCCAAGGAAAAGGGAGCCACACTCCAAAGAAGGTGAAAAGTACTGAGATTCAGAATATGGTTGGTAGATTTAGCTTTAGAAAAAGTAGAGAGGGCCTCCCCAGTGGCGCAGCGGTTGAGCGGTGGATTGAGAAGCTGCCCGCAGCCTCTGCAGTGCCGGTTCGATCCCCGGCTGCTCCCTGGCCACCGGAGGAGGGTCCCACATGGCGTGCAGACGTCTCCTGCCGCCCGCTGCTCCCCTCAGCAGTATACTTGGGTCCTTCTGCCTGCTCTGCTCCCTGCTCTGGCTCTGGTGAATTCTCTCACCCTCCTGTGCTTTTGACTGTACCCAGTGCTTGTATAAAAAATTATGTCTTTAAAAAAAAAAGAAAGAAAGAAAAAGTAGAGAAATCCCTTGTGAGGTGAAAGGGAGAATAAGTTGAACAAATAAATGTTTACACACATTCAACAAGTTGATTTCATTATGCTTGATATCAAAGATTAAAAAAGGCTAAGACACTGATGGTTGCACATAATGAATATTCTAAAAATCACTGAAGCACCAACTTTAAAATTGTGAATTTTATATAATGTCAATTATATCTGTTTTAAAAAAAAGATACCACCCATCAAAATGGTTCATATTTGTAATACTGCAACAGGCCTCCCTTGTGGTTCAATGCCAGTGGTTAAGACACAACCTATGAAGCTATTTGCAGCCACTGCAGCATGAGTTTAATCCCCGGACAGGGAGCTACCCACATGGTGCAGCAGACCTCTCCTGCCTCACATGCTCCTCCCCTCCGCAGTTTATTTCAGTTACTGTCCCTGTTCTCTTCCCCACTCTGTCTCTGGTGGATCCTCTCCCGCCCCCCACACCTCTGACCTATACCCCAGTTCTTGTATGCATAAATAAATCTTAAAAAATATACCGCAACACTAATTCTTGAGACTGATGCAGTGCAACTGAAAATCTCAAACTGCTAGGAGTGTAAAATGTTTCAATCCTTTTAAAAACAGTCTGGCAGTTCCTTTAGCATTAAACATATGCATTCCCCAGGACCCAGTAATTCCATGCCTATGTAAATACTTGAGAAGAATATAAACGTATATGCTCAGGTAAGTACTTGTACATGAGAAATATAGCTTCTTTATTCATAATAGCTCCAGTCTGAAACAATCCAGATATCTATAACATGAGGATGATTAACTAACTGGAATACAATAGCAGCCTACCAGGCAATAAAAAAGCAATGAAATTATACATGCAATGACATGGATGAATCTATAAAATATGAGTGGAAATAATCTTATACAAAAGAGTACATGATATCAAAAGAGAATATTAGTCAAGGAAATAGAGAGCTGTGTAGCAGACTTAGTAACTAACTGGGAGAAATTAGAACAAGTCAGAAAGGATGCAATAGAATGTCCTCAAGAAGAAAGTAAATTTGTTTTAACAGATAGATATATATTTGGAAGCTGAGTGATCTTTATGATATGATGAAACAGATGTGGAAGCATTCCCCCTCCTTAGCTGGTTATTATAATTGATTATAGTAAGTAATTATGTAGCTCCTGTCAGTGATAAATTCAAAGATAGTAAACCTAAGTTTATGGGGGTCAATGAAACATGAAAAGAGGTTTGCGATGCAATTTTTGGAAAAATTTCTAAGCTCCTCTCTCCTACTTTTTAACAACAAAGGAAGCATGTAGCACTAAGTGGCATGGCATCCCATGATTACAAGGGAACCCGGCCTTAAGATGGAGTCGATGCCATAGAGAGACAGGAAGAACCCAAGGCTTTGATGTCATCTTAAAATCACTGGATGAACCAACCTTTAAACCTTTCTTCCCTATGGATTTCCTGTTACTTTCTCTTATGTAAGTTAGTGCAGTTCTCATTGTTTAAGTAATCTTGAGATCAACTCTTTGCTGCTTGGATTCCAAAGCATTCTATCTGATAAAGAAAGCAACATTACTTTGTCAAAAATAAAGTATATGGAAAGATGTGTGGAGGTTCTTCAAAGCACTAAAAATGGTTCTACCATGTGATCCAGTAATTCCATTCCTGGGAATCTACGCATAGGACACAAAAACACTTATTCAATGGGAAACCTGCACTCCTATGTTTATAGCAGCACTATTTACAATAGCTAAGATATGGAAATAGCTAAGAGATGAACAGATCAAGATGTGGCATGGAATACTACTCAGCAATCAAAAAAGATAAACTCGGACTTAAAAGGAACATGGTGGCGTGGAAACGCTGCGACTAAGTCCTTTGATTAAAAAAAAAAAAAAGTTAATAGGGAGGAAAAGCAGCAGGTCCCTGTGAGAACCGGGACATGGAAGATAAAGGGCGACTCTGGCAAACTGCCTGAAGAGGAAAGTTGCCATAAAAGAGGACGGAGAAGAGTGGAAAGCTCAGAT